CACTTCCTAGGTTACTAAGAATCCTTTTGATTAATTACAAGTGTTCTGAAATTTAAAAAAAAAAAGTCTATTACAACAAAACTTTTTCTGACTCTAAACCTATGCTTTTCCAGTTTTTTCATACTGCCTCGGCTTTACATGGTGAGCCTCCAGGATTAAGGGATAAACTGGCTGAGTGATGAGTATGTGTCCATACAGGGTTATGCCCATATAGTTGGATAACACTTATCTTAGCTCATGTGGCCAGTATCTGCAGACAGTTGAATATAGAGTCTCAGGAGAAAAGTCTGGGGTGGATAAACTGATTTTTGGCTAGCACAGTCTGATACACAGTAAGCATCCAGTGAATATTTGTTGAATGAGTCAATAAATGAAATGTAAATTTGGGAGCTCTGGCAAATACAGCTGAGGGTACATCCTGCCAGTATTTTTCTATAATTATATATTTTTAAAAGCAGAATTAGGAATCAATTTCATAATGTTCTTTGAAAATTATGTTTATTGCTATTTTATTTTTAAGAAATTAATATCACTTTGTAGGAGAATATTTAGAAATTAATTATGAAATGCCACCTTGTGACCAAAGAGAGAAATACAGCATTTCTCACAAGAGAGAGTGGCACCGAGGTAGCATAGAGAGGGGTAGCTTCTCAGCTAGTACCCTCGGAGGTCTGACACACCAGGTTCTTCTCAGAAGTAAGTTGGAACAGAAAGGAAACAAGGAACTGGAAGAGCCAACAGGCCCTATCTCAGCTAAAGAGATAGGAGAAATAGAATTATACTACTTTCACCTTTATGATCCTTTTCTAATTGTAAAAACTCCAGATGGGGCACCTGGGTGACTCAGTTGGTTAAGCATCTGCCTTCAGCTCAGGTCATGATCCCAGGGTCCTGGGATGGCGCCCTGCGTCCCGCTCCCTGCTCAGCAGGAAGTCTGCTTCTCCATCCCCCTCCCTGCTCCCCCTTCGCATTCTCTCTCTCTCTCTCTCTCAAATAAATAAATAAACTCTTTAAAAAAAAAACACATGTTCATTGAAAAAGTTAAAACTGGAAATACAGTGAAGGATAAAGATGAACTTATAAATTTCCCATAATAATACCATTTAGAAATATTCACTTCAAATAGTTTGATATTTCTCTTTAATCTCCATGTGTGTATGTGTGTGTTGCTGCTAGCTTTTTCATGAAACAGTATGATGGTCAGAAACAGCTTTCCATGTCAAAGAGATGTTTCTACATCATGTTTTGTAATTCATGAAAGTGGGATTTTCTTTGTTATTTCAAATTTTCAGGCAGGTAACTAAGTAATTGGAAATGTGGAAGGAATTTTTTTTCATCCTACAATACACAAAAGGGACCAGAATGCATAAATGTTGTAAATGTATATAGGATTCAAATATTTCTCTTATAATTCCTAATGAATGACAGTTATTCCATTTAGTTTATGTACTATTTGCTACTTAGTTTGTGTAAAATTTGCTACTAAGGGATAAGGTTGAATGAAAGAAACAAGAATAGACTTTTCTTTTGGAAGGGTGATAAGGAGTCAAGGAATCACAGACTTTCTGAGTTCTTATTTGAATATAATCTCAGGATCATCCAATAATGATGATGATGATGATGATGATGATGACACTTGATAATGATGATCAAAGATCTAACATTCTCTAAGGGTCTGTTGCATGCCAGGAATTTCATATAGTTTTCTGCATTTACTTCCCACAACAGTCTTAGGGGTTTATGTAGGGTTATACTCATTTTAGAGATGAATGAACCAATCTGGGTTCACACTTCTTATAAGCAGAGAATGCAATTCTAGCCAGTGCTTTCCCATTATATTGGCCTCACCCTTTCAGATGATGGGTTTCCAGGGCTTGCCCACTGATCCTTAGAAATCTTCACAGTATGTGGCCTGTGCCCAACAGGAATCCATTGAATAGTCACTCAATACCATTCCTTGATGATGATGATAATTATGATGATGATAATCAGCAATGATGGTGGTGGAGAAGAAATTTTCTCTTTGATCTAGAGTTCTATTTCCAGGGAGCCCATGAATGGCCCATTTCAAAGATAGTAGGTATCCTAAAAGAAAAAAGAAGATAATTTGTGATTTATGCAACGTTACATGTCATAAGGGGAAGAGCCGAGATTGGAACCCAAGTTTTTCTGGTTCTAAGGCTGTACACTTAACCACTTTGCCTTCCTAAACCCAAGAAGTTGAATTTTATCTTCACCTTATTGCCCAACCAATTTTTAGGATATCAAAAAAAAGTGGTAATAATTCCTATATTTAGGTAATAAGACCTATCTTTAGGTAATAACACCTAAAGAGCAAGGGTCACAATTGCTTCCTCCACCATCAGTGCTTTCAAAAACATCTTACCAATTCACACCTTGACTGAGCTGGCCCACAAGTTTGAGGCCGGGTCTGCAGTGCAGGGGTGTTGTTCATACAGAAGGTGATGCCCCCTTTCTCCTAAACTGTAGGACCACATGCTTTTGCAAGCTTCCTTTACTCAGGGTTTCCTATATCTCTGACCCTGGGCTCATGCAGACATCAGAACTACGACACCAAGCACACACAGAGCTAAAGGTACCAACAGAGGCCCTTCTGGGAGTCTGAGCAAGGTAGGTGGGAGAGGAATGAGGGAGGTCTTGTCTGAGATCTGTCCTCATTTTCACTTCAATTGTTTTGGGAGTTCCTTCACTGGACTCTGAGAGAAGGGTCAGCCTCTTTTGCTTTATCTCCAAGTTACCTGGTCAGACCCAGTTCATACAATTGCTTAGCCGAAGACTATCATGACCCATGTTTCCAGTTAGGAATCTTTGGGGCTTTATCTCTTCCCTCACACAAAGTTCCGCAAAAGAGAAAGGGAGAAGAAAGGAAAGGCAAAGTGCTCTGACCTGCAACGAGGACAGTTGTCTTCCAACTATGTTCAGGACAGGCCATTCATCAGGTTAGGAGAGTCTGTGCCTGCTGCAGGCTGGAGCAGGGAAACCATAGTCAGACCCACCCTGAGGAGCAGTGTGGCTTAAGTGAGCCCTTCCACAGCCTAACTGAGCACCAGCCCTCTGAGCACCAGAAGAATGGATTCATCCTGTCTTGTCAAACTGGTACAGTTAGTCCCTGGAATTTCAGCTCACTCCAACAAGAGTCCAGCCCAATTGGCACCCATCAGGCTGTTGCAACCTTGAAGAATGGTCTGAAGACATGAAGATCCCCCAAAATGACATCACACAATGGAAAAAATGAAAACAAAGCCAAAGGGCATAGGACTGGCTCACCATTTTGTGTGATCACAAAAAGAGAACTTGAATACATTTTACTCATATTGGAAGGAGTGAATGCATGGCCAAACATGGTGTTGTCAAGAAAAGTGCATCTAATATTACATTCCCTCATCTTTTTATCTTGTATTTCTTTATTAAAGGAAATCTTTCAAATGCTATGTATAAATCTGTCAGTCTTTTCATAGTTAAAAAGATAAACACGGTTATAGGCCTTCTGAATTTCAGTAAACATTCACCAATATTGTCTTCTAATTAAAGTTCATATTTGTAATAATGGAAAGCATACTGTATATACCAGTCATCCTCATGCTGCAATGTGCATCATAATCACCTAGAGGAGCTTGCTGTTACTTCTATAGCCCACCTCCAGTCGGCAAATCCTAGGGTGGGCCCCAGAAATCAGTATTTTATTTTTTTTTAGATTTTGTCAGAGAGAGAGAGAGTACAAGCAGCAAGGGGGGGGGGAGAAGCAGGCTCCCACTGAGCAAGGAGCCCAATGTGGGACTTGATCCCAGGACCCCGGGATCATGACCTGAGCTGAAGGCAGACACTTAACAGACTGAGCCACCCAGGCATTCCCAGAAATCAGTATTTTAAAGATGCTCCCCAAGGTGGTTCTAATGCAGGTGATGATGCAAGACTTTGATGAAACATTTGGAGAGCAATCTATTTCATGCACTTTCTTTTTGGAAATGCTTGCCATAATGTTAGAGAAATAAAAAACTTGTGGAAGACTATTGAGTCAACAGCAAAATGTGGATAACACCAGCTCCTTAGTAATAATTAAATCAAGAAACCAATTAAATATTAAAACAGGTCTCAGTTAAACACAAGTACGTAGGAGTATCAGGAGGCAAAGTTTTTGTTCTATAGGGGAAATAAATACAATTCCTAACATTTACATAATAGCCTTTCTTCTAGATTTATAGTTCTTAGTGCCTTTGCAAGTTTTTTTTTTCTTTCATGTTTTAACTTGGGATGGGATAGGGTGAAGGGGACTATTCCCTTAGATCTGTTATCCTTATTGTGTGCAACTTATGGATATGCAGTTTTCTGAACCAGTAGGGCAGGCCTGCCAGGAACCTTCATGCACCGATTATCTCACCAGAGAAGGAAGACAAAACCTTAGTCCTTAGACCTAAGGCAACCGTTTTTTTTTTTTTAATTCAAACTTGTACCTTGGTCCAACTCCCAAAACGGCCTCATCATGTCTGACTCCTATTTAGAGGGGTCCTGGGATTAGAAACAGAAGGGGCTGTTTTGCTAAGAACCCTGAAAGGCAGCATGGCCCAAGCCGTCTCACCTGTGTGAAGGGTCACTATGAAGCAGAGAGGCTTCAGAAGACAGAACAGGGGTTCGACCCACTGGGGAGTCCAGGAAAGTGAGTGGGTTTTGGCACCCGAGGACTCCGGTGCACCAGGAGCAGCGAGGGACAGCAGAGAGCAAAGGGCAGAACCCCAGGGAGGAGGAGCGTGGGGCTCTACAGCAGTTGACTGGCATGAAGCCCCCAGGGCCCTGCCTCCTAATGGACTTGTTCCTGAGCACAGGGAAGTCATGTCAGGGCCCTCCCTCCAATAACTGATGCTCTATGGTGGGTTGGGGTTCTGTATGCACAAAGGGTAACCAAAGGAGTCACCTTTCTTCCTGACAGCAGCCCTGCGAGGCAAATGTTTTCCCCGTGAAAAAGACAGAGTCTTAAGCAAGTATATCTGTAATAATTGCCAGTTTTATTCCTCTGGCTAAGAGATCCAGAGGTAACGAGGTTTACATTTTTTTTAATAGTTCTTCCATCAAGAGTTTAGGTGCCCCCATTGCCCTTAGAAGCTGGTTGCAAATTATTTAACTCTTACTTATAAAACTTTAATTCTTCGTGTGTGTGTGACATGTGTTCATGAAAAAATACATATAAGCAAAAGGAAAAAAGCTAACGCCACACAGAAATAAGCAGTTACGTTTCTGATATATGTATGTATACACACACGCACACACGCACACACAAATTTGGGATTTAATTCTACATATATGAGCTGATACTAAATATATCGCTTTGTAACCTGTTATGTTTTACTTCACAATATATAATGAATATATTTTCATGCAAATGTGTGAAACTTTCCAATTGAAAAACAGACCTGGAGAATGGGTCAAAATACAAAATCCAGTGAGATGCTGATAACAAGGAAACTACCTAAAACAAAATTCCACCAGATGATTAAAGTAAAACGAAGGTCAAAGATACATCAGAAAACGCTAACAGAAAGAAAGCAGGGGCCAGATTTTAATATCAGACAAAAAAAGAATTCAAGGCCTAAAGCACACAGGGTAAGGACGGCTGCGTGAATGTCTTTGCTTCCAATGCATCATCACAAACTTGTTTCTTACTCTTCTTATCTCTTCCCTAAGCCTTTCCAACTCATCTACTCCTCTTATCATTTCTTCAGGGTCCAAATGCCTCACAGGAGTGTCCTCTTTAAACCCCTGGCCAGGCTGGGTCAGCCCTCCTCCAAGATTTCCTTCTGCTTCCTGGCTTACACCTTCTTCGGAAGGTTGAGGATTTCCTTCCGCCTCCTGTGGTACATCTTCCGAAGGGCGGTCGGCCTCGGTCTTTGGCATGTTCTGTGGTTTTCCTTCATTTTCTTCACAAGACTTTTGCATGTTGAGTATTTTTCTGTTATTTCTTTTGAATAAATTAATCCTGGAAAACAAGGAAACGAAACAACTAGATGCCAGACAGACAGGCAGCCAAAGTATGGGTTCCCAGAGAGATTTGCCTCTTCTCATTCAGATCCCTAATTGTCAAAGTTTTCCAACTAGAGAAGGCTAGGTCCTCAGGCTCCGAACTCCCCTGACTCCACCCCTTCCTCCACCTCCCTTCCCTCCCCCTCTCGCTCCAGCTCCATCTTCCCTCCTCCCGCTCCAGCCCACCATTTCCCAGCAGGCCCTGCTTACAGGCCTCTCCTAGCCCAGAAACGGGAGCAGCGCGGAAGCAATTAACCCCCTCCTTAGACGCTGGTCTCCAATATTCCCGCCCTCTCGGGCTTTCCCAGGCAGTCCCAGCCTCCCGCCACTCACCTGAGATCTGCTGGTGCAGTCTCTAGCCTCCCCTCCCCCTTCCACGTCTCTCCAGCCTCCCCCGCCCCCGCCCCATTTCCGCTGCAGGCTCTGCAAAGGCCTCCAGCGCTTAATCCGGATGGGGAGAGGCTGTGGCGACCCCAGGATGTGCTTTGGTGTCATCCACGCACTCCCACTCCCACTCCCACCCGCACCCCCACCCCCACCCGAAGGTACGTGAGGCGATTGCACCCTTACACTGACCTGCAGGGATCCAGGGGATTTTCCTGCCTCCTTCCCTCACTCGATTTGTGTCGCGCCCAAAAGACCAAAGAGTCCTGCAGACCGAGAGGAGTGCTTGCTGAGCGAGCAGGCCAGTACCTTAATTACCGGTCCCTTTCACGATTCTAGGCCTTGTTCGTCTGAAGTTGTCCCACGTCCTCATCCTTTCCTTCCTTTTAAGGCAACCCCGCCCCCCCCCCCCCCCGCGCCGTGCCCACCGGTTCCCTGCAAGCAGGGAGTGGGAGACGCCAAGTTATTTCCCAAATTGTCTCTCTCTCGCTCTCTCTAGGGACCCTCAATTGGCTACCCTTCTCCGTCTCCACCCCGACCCCCACCAAACAGCCCCAAATTTCCTGCACAAAAATGGGAGTTTGGCGGGCTCTAATGTTGGGAAAACAGTGGTGACCCCGCCTGGCTACTGCTCTCTGGCTCCTAGACCCGAGGGTCCCCAAGGCAGCGCCCGCTTTTACACTGACCTGAAGAGATCCGAATCACTTTTCTCCTTCTCCAGCAATACGGAGCTGCTACAGGGAAACAGGCCCTGGACTATAAGGACTTCTGCACACGTCGACTCCTGGTCACGTGAGGGTCGCGTCATCAATGAGCTCCAGTCTTCAGTGACCCCTCCCATTTAACACTGCAGCCCGCCCCCTGCATTCCCTCCACTTGATACTGTCAATCTTTTTTCGTATTTGCCAATCAGAGACAATAGAACTGGTATCTTCTCCCTGCAGTTGCAATTCGCCTTTCTTGGATTGCCAGGGAGGATCAGCCTTTAGGGGTTAATCGACCATTTCTCCTTCGTTGGGGAATTATCTCTTTCTCTCTCTGCTTCGAATTTGCCCACCTCCCCTCCTCCCCCAAGACCTACAGTCCACCATTTCCCCAGGAGTCCCATCTAGCATTAAAATGGGCGAAGGTGGTAGATGGGGGGAGGGGTGGGGGTAGAGGCGACTAGAAAAGAATGTAGGAATGAGAGTGTGGAATTTTTTTTTTACTAGTTTTCTTGAATTTTTTCATGTTTTAAGCATGATATTAAATGATCATGATGCTTTACAATGATGTTTTAAAAAGAGATGCCACATAATATCTGACACAATCTGGAGGCAAAATAGTTTTTATCAATTTTTAAGACTTTGGAAAAGTTTCCTAATGGCTACAAATGAAATGACAGTTCTCACAACACATTGATGTGTTAGAAAAAAAAAATTTACATCATATTAAAAGAGCACCTTTAAAAAAAAAAGCTGACTTCCAGGTTAATCTGTGGGAAGGAGCCCGCTTTTCTCTTGTTAGCCATTTTATATAAGTAATCCACTACTTTTTCTTTCTCTGGCTGAACTAAAGTTATCAACTGTTAGATGTCTGACCTTTTCATTGATGACTGCTGGATGGCTTCCACTTGGGTTTCAAATAGGCTTCAGACAGACCTCTTATGTCCTCTAGGATCTGATGCCTTGTTAATCAGATGAGTCCCCAGAAGAGCCTGCTTTCCTCAGAGTGAACTTTATTTTGGAACTCAAATAAATATGTGGGAAAATAGCTTTCATACACTCACAAAGCCTTCAGAAAGGAGAGAGTACTCTGTATCTCACCATTTGGTGTGAGGCTTATTAGCAGGTAGAATTTTCATTCATTCATGGCACTCTTGAGATAGTCTGGTATCATTCACTTTGTTCCATTAAAAAAGAGAACTATCAACATTCATAATTGTTATGATCAGAAGCAGAGAGAACATCATTGCTGCAAAAAAAAAATATTAGTTAAAAGAGGAAACTGATATCCCAACAACCCATAATCCACTGGTACTTAGAAGTGTGTTGTTGCCAGAAATGGCATCCTGGCCAATGCAGCCAGCTGGAGAATCAGGAGAAGGAGGAAGTGAGGGATCTTTTGTCTAGGATGGTCACGGTGGGATGCGGCAGCCAAAAACAAAGCCTGCCATAGGGAAGGAAGGGTTCAAAAAATAAATATTTTTGCTGACTTAATGTTTATCATTTATATTTAAGCATCAAGAATTTATCCCACCCTTGAGGAATACATTTTCTATTATCCAAGAGAGAATTTTCAATGTAAATATAGCCAATGAATTGTAACGATGTGATCCTTAACTACCACAAAATGTTTCCATTCATTCTTTTCTGATATTACATTTAATGGGGGACAACTCTGACTTTTTAAAAATTATTATCATACAATAAAATTGGCCCTTTTCCGTGTGTACAGTTCTGTGAAGTTTAACAAATGTATAGATTTGTGTAATCACCACCACAATCAGGATGCAGTTCAATCACCCCCTCCAATAAAACTCCCTCATGCTTCCCCTTTGTAGTCATATCTTACCCCCTTCTCTGAACTCTGGCAACCACTGATCTATTCCCAATTCCTATAGTTTTGTCTTTTTCAGAATGTTACCTAAAAGAAATCTACAATATATCACATTTAGAGGCTTCTTTCACTCAGCATAATGCCCGGGAAAGTTATTTAAGCCGTTTCATGTAGCAATAGCTCATTCTTTGCTTTTTGCTAAGTAGTGTTCTGTTAGAAGAATGTTCCAGTTTATTTGTCCATTTACCCACAGGACATCTAAGTTGTTCCTAGTTTTGAGTAATTGTGAAGAGAGCTGCTATATACATATGTGTACAGGTTTAGGACCTGACTGTCTCAGGCCTGACTGTCAGGGGAACTCCTTCTCTGACCTATCTGCCTTCAGTGCCTCCCTCTCCAATTTACCTTACACGTTACCATCAAATTAAACTTTACTCTTCCTTATTCTTTTTTAAAGATTTTATTTACTTATTTGACAGAGAGATAGACAGAAGAGCACAAGCAGAGGGAATGGCAGAGAGAATGGCAGAGGCAGAGGGAGAAGCAGGCTCTGCACTGAGCAGGGAGCCCGATGCAGGACTCGATCCCAGAACTCTGGGATCATGCCCTGAGCCAAAGGCAGACGCTTAACCATTTGAGCCACCCAGGCGCCCTACTCTTCCTTATTCTTAAAACTTGTTATTTTCCTACTCGAAGGCCCTGGTGGGCAACCCCACCATCAGAGAAGTAAATCCTACTTTACTCTTCCTGACATTCAACATTGATGTGAATTGAGCCTGAGGACACATGTTCCCAGCTTTGTCATATGTTTCTCTACCACATCAAAAGGAACCCTCACTCATGGGGCATCTGGGTGGCTCAGTCCTTAAGCGTCTGCCTTCAGCCCAGGTCATGATCCCAGGGTCCTGGGATTGATCCGCATCGGGGCTCCCTGCTCGGCGGGAAACCTGCTTCTCCCTCTCCCACTCCCCCTGCTTGTGTTCCCTCTCTCACTGTGTCTCTCTCTGTCAAATTAATAAATAAAATCTTTAAAAAAAAAAAAGCAACCCTCACTCACAGTGCCCGAGGTATGCCTTCTTCTCTCTGTCCTTACAGGCCATTTTTTTTCCTTGTGATAGCCCTCCACTTCCTCCTAGATCCTGGTCCCGCTCATTCTTAGGAGCCCAGACTTCCTCACCCAGCCTCTAAAGCCACCCCACTGGGAAGTGATCTCTCCCTTCCCTATCCATGCTGCACAACGGTCTGCACCCCTCATATTGCCCTTAGGAAAGGCTGCCTTTTACCTTTGCCCTTTCCTGTGAGTTTAGGGGAAGGGCATATCTAACCAGGCAGATGGTCAGAGATGGGTTGAAAATGGGGTTGTGGTGAGTCAGGCTCCAGCTCACATGCTGCTTGAGGGGCTTTTATGATTTTTAAAGGCACGTCTCCCAGAAATCTCTGAGTTTCAGAAGGAGCTGTTTGCAGATTGACTCAGAGATGAAACTTCTTTTTGTCTGCACAAAAATTAGGGCAGAAATTTCATTGTCCCCTCCTCTGCTTATTCTGCTTACATGTAGTCAGAGCAACTTTAATACCATTTTTATGGAGCTATCAATAGAGAATATTGACCCCGTTTTCCTAAATACTCACAAGAGAGAGATCAGTCACCTCACTGTTACACACCTGACAGCCAGATCATACAAGCTTTTACCTTTATTGTCCCTGAGCAATTTCAGTGCATCAATATAACACGTAGCTATCCTTAAAATTAAGTTAGTCACAGTAGCTTTTAAATATAAGTAGATTTTTGAAGACAATAGCATTATATGAAAGTAAAAACTATTTTTAAAAAGAAATGAAAAAGGTGCACATACTAATTTTAACAACAAAGACATGAATTCTAGAAAGTAGACACCCCAAGCTTCTGACCTAATCAATGTCCTGTTTTCGTGCACCAAGAGGGCACTAGGGATAGCAACAAAACCCAAGGTCCTTCAGGTGGTATGAGGGGAGAAGACAGGAGGAAGCATTTTAGCAGCCAGGAGCTCTTATACAAGATTGTGATATCCAGAAAATTGTTTTCTATGTTCCCTTTAGAAATCACTTCCATAGTGTTTTGTTCTGAGCCTCCATATTTAGCAATTCCTCCTGCATATTTCTTCATTGCTGTTTCAAAGCTCATCCCATAGCAGAGCTTGAGACAGCTATTCCTCTCCCTCACTTCTCTAGCATATTCTATATGGGTTGCAAACATCATTCCCAGCATGGCAAAATCTGCTCCAGATCCAAAGGTTTGGCTGCATAGTGTGGACCCAAGTGGCCACCATCTAAGATGATTTGCCCTTTCAGAGCACAAGTAAATACAACACAATAGGCCTTTGTTCTACGGAGGGTAGTCCACTCCTGTCCTGATAAGTAGAACACGAAAACCTGATTTCCAATTACACTGTATCTGTTTCAGAAAGTAAACTCTTCTACCATCCCTCCCTACTATGTTCCCTGATATTTGGAAATTTGGCATGGATAAGTTTCAAAAGTTTCATAAACTATTCAGAATAGCAATTGGCCACGTCCAAGCAAATGAACTGAACTCAAAGCACAACTTCTATGATTCTTTTCCTCCCTTCCCGATGAGATTCTGCCCACTTCCTGAACTCATAGCTAAATACTACTACACCCATTGTGGATAATGGTGGCGAAAAGTTTTGAGTTATCTGGGCATAATGCTTATGACAAATTGCTGTGAACCTGAGATGCCGTGTCATAACCCCTACCATTCCAAATGTCCTCGTGGTATCCACGTTGGCCGCAGGAACAGGAGTCCTTGGGCTGGACTGCTTAGACTTTTAATATGTGACAGTATGCTTAAAATCCACCTCAGCTAGATTCTCTAGATGGCTTTGTGTAATTAAGCCTTGAGATCCGCATCTATGTAGAACCTCTTGTTGGATTCAGGGGAGGCACCCTTCAGCTGTACTAAAGCTTGGGCCAGGCAACTTTTTCCTGTGGCAGAAGCTGAGTTGGGGAGAGAGTGCCCTTGCTGTAGGCTGAGTGCTTTTATTTATTTTTTTAAAGATTTTATTTATTTATTTGACACATAGAGAGAGAGAGAGAGAGAGAGAGAGAGAGAGAGCATAAGCAGGGGGAGAGGCAGAGGGAGAAGGAGAAGCAGACTCTCTGCTCAGCAGGGAGCCCGATGCAGGGCTCGATCCCAGGACCCTGGGATCATGACCTGAGCTAAAGGCAGAGGCTTAACCGACTGAGCCACCCAGGCTCCCCAGCTGAGTGCTTTTAAAAATTAAAT